AGTGACTGGGGCCACGTCTGCGTCACGTCATCGCCCTGACCTAAGGACTGGGATGCACCAGAGCTAGCCCAGCTTCCTTCCTGGAAGACCTGCGAAAGGGAAGGCCCTCTGGGGCCCTCAGACACCACAGGCACACGGGCTCCCAGATCAGGGCCCTGCCCCGTGAATCATTCACACCTGGTGGCTTGAAGTGACTGTTGCTCTCGGGACACGATCTGTTGGGAGCCAGGACGATCTGTTGGGAGCCAGGACGGTAGCAGCCTCCCAGCAGGAGCTTGGCACCCTGCACTGGTGTCGGTCCTGCCGACTGTTCTTGGGGGGGTCAGAGCAGGGAGAACCTCAGGTCTAGGAGGACGCAGACTCTGGCAGTCCACCCTGGGAGCAGATCCTCTGGGCTGGTTGGGGCAGGTTTTATCCCCAGTACAGATGGGCAAACTGAGGCCTAAAGAGACTCCCAGGGGCTCAGCAGCACAGAGGTGGGGTGGGAGTGCTTTGGGGAGCCACCTGGGTGCTGCCACTCCCTCTGCAGGGACAGTGGGCTTGTGAATTCCACCCAGGAGCCTGTGGCTCCTCACGGGTAGACACAGGTTGTGCAAGCCAGGCATGAGGAGTTACTTACACCCAGCACAGCGACTTGTGTGTACTCGGTGTCCATCCTCCACCAAGGGCAGCGTCTCTTTTTAGGCCCTGTTCGCTGAGCTCTCATAGGCAGCTTGGACACCTGTAGGGCTTGGACCTCAGGGTCCCTGCAGAAAGATGCCATGTCAGTGTTAGGGGAAGCCAGGGTCTACACTGCCTCGCCAGTGGCTACTGAGCACACAGAAATGGCTGGGGCCACACTAGTGGAGACACACCGGGCATCAGTGACTCAGTGAAAGAAGAAGGCAAGGAGTCTCGATTTTATTGACTATTTGCTGAAATGATGTTTTTTGATATGTTGTATTAAAGATAATAGATTTTTTTAAGATTTTGAGATGGGATCTTACCAAGTCACCCAGGCTGGCCTCCGACTTGTCATCCTCCTACCTCAGCCTCCAGAGTCTCTGGGGTTATAGGCATGCACCACTGTGCTCAGCTTTAAAATTGATTATTAAAATTATTTTCTTGCCTAGTATGCACAGGGCCCTGTGTTTAATCTTTACCACTGGAAAAAATAATTTCAGTTGTTATTTTTACTTTTTAAAAACATAGCTAAGCCAGGCACATTGGCGCATGCCTGTAATCCCAGTGACTCAGGAAGCTGAGGCAGGAGGATTGTGAGTTCAAAACCAGCCTCAGCAACTAGCAAGGTGCTAAGCAACTCAGTAAGACCCTGTCTCTAAACAAAACAAAACAAAAAAGGCTGGGGATGTGGCTCAGTGGTTAAGTGCCCCTGAGTTCAATCCCCGGTACCCCCCCCCCCCAAAAAAAAACCCACAAAAAGAAAACATAGCTATTGGGAAAACTCCAGAGCATGTATGTGGCTCTCACTGTTTCTACTGGACGTTACTCCTGACTCTGAGGGCTTAGGTGTTGACATCTCCTTAAGGAACAAGGTATCGGGCATGGTGGCACCTGCTGGTCATCCCAGCAACTCAGGAAGCCAAGGCAGGAGGATCGCAAGTTGGAGTCTATTTTGAGCAACTTAGGGACACCCTACCTCAAAATAAAAAATAAGAAGGGCTGCAGATATAGCTCAGTATAAAGCACCCCAAGTTGAGTCCCCAGTACCACAAAAACCAAAAACAGGAACAAGTCAACAAAGGTCTGGCAGAGCCTCCACAGCTGTAGAATAGGGGTGCCCTGACTAAGGCTGCATGTTTGGAAGCACCAGTGGAGACCAGGTGCATGACAAGCGCTCCTTGACCCCTCCCTGGGCCAGGCCAGGCTGTGTGAACCTCAGGGACAGGGCAGGGTGGGCAGCAGGGGCCTGAAGACCCAGTGATGTGGGCCTCATGCAGTGGGGCAGATGGATGCAGCGTGGCCTCCTCATCCAGGATGGTGGGATCCTTGTGTCCCCCATCTGACCCCAGGGCCTCTCTGCCCTGCCTTCCAGGAGGAAGAGCTGGGTAGCTGCCAGGAGCCTGGTGCTCCTTGGAACTGCTCATCATGTAAACATGGCCACTGGCCTTTGTCAAAGCAGCAACGTGAGGGATGAAGGGGAGCCCTGTTGAGCGCATGCCCGGAGTCCAGAGCAGCCAGTGCCTCGGACTACAGGCCCTTAAGGGTCCTGCCCTGGTGTCCACACCTCCTGGTGGCCACGAGGGGCTGCAGGCCCCAGCACTCTCCCCTCGCTGGGCTCATCTTGTGTGTGAGTCACTGACCACCCTCCCCCTGCCCCCACCTGGCCGCTGCTGACCGGAGCCTCCCCGAGCAGGCCTGCCCCTCTGGCCATGGCGATAGCTGGGCGTGTGGGCTGTGGCCCTTGCACCCACCCCATGGTCCCGGGGTGGTGGACCTTTCCACTTTTCCCCAGCCTGGCCTGGTGTCGGCGTGAGTCGCCCACCAGGAGAGGGGCCTGCTGGCTGTGGCCCCAGAGCCCAGGGTGGCGATTGGCGGCTTAGACAGACGCAGGCCTGTGTGGGCTGTAGGGCACTGGCGCCCACATAAGAGCATTGTTTGCCGAGGTGAAAGGACTTTTGTCCTCCTTCTGGAGACGGGACAGAGGGAGGAACAACTTCCCCCATTCATCGTTGATTCCCCCGATTCCCCCAGTTGAACGCCAGCATGTTGCCCTGCGCTAGAGTAGATGGGCACGCAGGCCTTCCCTGCCCATGGCATTCCGGGCACAGGCGGTGGGCTCTGGGTCCTGCCCAGACAGGAGTGTTGTTTTTCCCCAGAGCTGGGAGGGGTTCAGCGGGGTGCGCTCTCCACTTCTCCAGGGCCCCTCTGGGCTCCTCTCTGCTGCCTGCAGGCCACAGGTGAGGCAGGCTGCTGGTCCTGCAGGGGCCTCCTGGCCCAGCCACAAGACGGGACCAGCTGTTGACAAGAGGATCACCTGGGCACCCTTAGGTTTTACTTCCAGCTCCAGGTCTGGGTGGGTCCAACCAGAACTCCTGGCCTGCGCCCCTGGAAGGCCCTGGTGCCAGCCTCTGGGGCTGCAGGGCCAGCTGGGGCTTTTCACAGAGTCATAAAGTGTTGGAGCCCAAGAGGGCGTCAGCGACAACTCCCTGGACTGTAGATAAGAGGAGCCCAGGAGGCTGCTGTGCTCAAGGTCGCGCACAGGGAGGCTGGGGGTGGGTGCCTGCTGGCAGCTGTCCTCAGGCTTGCTTTTGGAGGACAGGAGAAGAAGGATTTGGAACTGGTCAGAACCCTGCCCCTCTGCTTCCTCTCCCCCAAACTGGGAGACGGGCTGTGGGCAGGGCCGTGGCCTGCGCTGATAGGTACCAGCTCCCAAGTCCCATCTCTTAGCCCAGTTAGTCAGAGACCAAGCCAGACCCATGTGACAAACCCGCCTCCAGCCAGCTTTGGCAATAAGGAAGTGACGGCTCCTGTAACCTAATAGTCCAGGCATTCTTTGGTTTTAGGCACAGATGGATTTAGGGGTTTTCTCTGCTGGCCTATTCTCCCCACGGTGGCCCCCGCCCACAGTCTCAGCTGCCCCCAGGTGGAGAGAGCCCAGGGCTGACCTTCCTGGGTTCACTTAGTCACGTGCATCACCACTCACTGGGGTGGGCCCTGCTGACTGGCCAGGCCCAGGCACGTGCTCATCCTGGGGAACCCTGGAGGACCAGGGTGCCTCCCAGAGGAAGGGGCGTGGCTTCTGGGGAGGCCCCAGTGATCCAGGTCCACGGGATATGGCTCTGCCAATCCTAGGCCTCAGGCCTGGGGCGGCTTCTGTGGGGGCTGGGCGCAGGCCACGGATGATAAACAGAACAGCATTGTGGGAAGATGATAAATGTGCTGGGAAAAAATAGGTAAAGGGGTCAGTGTGTCAGACGGGGGGGCAGGGGCTGGTCAGAGGAGTCCTACTGAGATGGTGGCCTTTAAGCAAAGCTGGGGAAGTTAAGGAAGGAGCCTTGGGATAGCCAGGTCGGCGTGGCAGGAAGAGGGCAGCGTGCACCAAGGCCTTGGCCCTGCTGGAGCCGGCGCACGGCCAGCAGGGACTGTCCTGGGGGCCACGACACACAGAGCCGCCTGCCCCTGAGCTGCCAGGATGGGGCTGGGTGGGCAGCAGCCTCCCTGAGAAGTGGCGCTCATCGGGCCCTGAAAGATGAACAGAGCGTAGGGCTAGATTGGGTGAGAAAGCAGGTGTCGTCCCCCCCGCCCCAGCCCTCAGTTTGGTTCCTGCTCACTCAGGCACCAGCCCCCAGGCGGCCGCCCTCTTTCCACTGTCGGTCCCCAGTGTCCAGCTCGGCTGGCTCAGGCTACACCCAGCAGGTGTTGAGGAAAGGAGGGGCCGAGCAGGAGCAGATCGCCTGGGCCCTCCCCGTGCCCACCTCGGACTTGGCGCCATGCTGGACTTGGGCCCCGGAAGCCCCGGTTCCAGGCTGGGAAAGACAGAGCTGAGGCAAGTAGGTGGGTGCGAGGTGAGGAGATGGAGAGCCTGCTCTGGACCAGGGCCGTGCATGCCTTAGACGGCCTATGTGTCAGACGGCCATCTGAAGGGAAATTGAGGCCAGGGAGAAATGCCCTTGCATCCCCAGATGGCAGAACATGGGCCTCCTTCACAGGCAGCCTGTGTACCGGCTGCAGTGGGGCAGGCTGGGAAGGACTGTGGTTGGGGCCACCTGAGCAGAGCCCCAGGTAGGAAGGGCCTGGGCAGGCTGGGGAGCAGACATTTGTGGTTAGTATTATTATTACTTTTGGTCACTCAGGTAGATGTGGGCTCTGTTGGGGCTGACTTTCCCTGTCCCTGGTGCAGTATGGAGGTCCAGGCCTACTCAAGGTTTTAGTTTTGCTGTATATGGAGTAGAATATGCATAACAGATTTTGCTATCTTAATTAATATTTGCAAAACTTTTTCATCACCCCAAACAGAAATTCTGTACCCATTAATGCCCTATCCCTCTTCTCCCCAGGCCCAGGTAACTTCAAATATACTTTCTGCCTCTACAAATTTGCCTGTTCTAGACGCAGCGTGTAAGTGGGATCAGCTATTCTGTCTCCAGCTCACTTCAATCAGCGTCACTCCTCAGGTTCATCCACAGTGTAACAGTTCTAACCTTCTTGCATTTTTATGGCTGAATAATATTCCATTGTGTGGCTAGATAACATTTTGCCTGTCCAAGGCTTTTCAAAATGTAAACCATATAAATAAGTTGTAAATCTTTTTTTTTTTTTTTTGAGAGAGAGAATTTTAAGATTTATTTTTTAGTTTTCGGCAGACACAACATCTTTGTATGTGGTGCTGAGGATCGAACACAGGCCGCGTGCATGCCAGGCGAGCGCACTACTGCTTGAGCCACATCCCCAGCCCAAGTTGTAAATCTTTGTAATGTATCTGGATTTAAAATTGGAAATCTAACATGGTGTCGATTTCCGATTTCTTCTAAAACCTTGGAATACATGGCCACACGAGGTCAGGGCTCCGGGTGCCTCCCTCACCCGACTGCGGTGGTACCTGAGAACAGGGAGGTGGGTGCCGCCATCGGCACCAGCACCTGTCCTCTGGCAACACAGGCTCCACCCGGCAGTGAAGGAGGTGGCAGCCTCTGCTGTCAGCTGACAGAGCAGGTCATGGCCCCAGCCAGGCTTCTGACCAGGGCGAGGCCCCAGGAGTGTGGTGCGCCCTCAGCGGCCCCTGAGCACATCCGTGCTCATGCCCAGGAAGGGCAGGGTCCATCCTCCTGGAGGAAAACCGGGTCAGGGAGACAACTGATGGAGCCCTGCCCTGCTGGGCATAGGCAGCTTTTGGGATGACCCTGCGCTATCCTCAGGAGGACACTGCACCTCCTTCCCAGGGCGTGGAGGAAGGGAGAGCCCAGTATGGGCCTGGAGCCTTCCCTGAGCAGGGCTTGGCTGGGGAGTTGAAAAGGCCACAAGGCTAGGGGCACATGGGCAGTGGGTCACAGGAGCGGTACCTGCTTGGGGGAGATGAGCACAGGGGGATGAAAGGGCTTGTTTGACAGTTGGGGCCCCTTCCCACGATTCACCTTCCCAGTTAACTGGTAGGCTCACAGGTAGACCTCTGACCCCTCCCCAGGAAGGCTGACCCCTGGCTGGAGGCATCACTTTACTCTGGACCTGCACAGGGCTGACACACAGTAGATGCTCAGGAAGTACCACCAAGCAAATCTGTTCATTTCACAAATGTCCAGCCTGGTGGCTGGAGATACTGCCAGAAGACCCTTCTGTGAGGTCTGGAGGAGTTAGGTGGTCTCAGAAGTAGCTGGGCACAGGCTGGGTGACAGGGAACCGCTTGCAGGCTGGGGGAATGTGGCGGGAGGGAGCGTGGAGCCAGGCTGCCCCGAGGAGGAGGTTGCAGCAGCATGTGCAGTGTGGCCCAGGGGACCTGCGGCAGCCGAGGGGGAGGGGTGTCACTGCACGAGCTTTTCCCATCCCCCTCTGCCCAGGGCCCTGGCTGCTTGATGGGCAGCCCGGTCCCGCCCCTGGGCAGCCAGGAGACCTGCGATTGGTTGGGGCTCTAGAGCACTTGGTCGCCATGGGGACGCTCAGGAGGTGCGCGTGCCCAGTGCCCAGCACCGGGGACTAAATCTTCATAATCTGCCGGCTGGGAGGGTGGGGGTAGGGTCCAGTGCGACCCTATCCTGGAGGAAAGGGCGGCCTGACACGGTCAGGGCTCTCTGTGGCCACTCCTCCCCCACTAGTGCTGGGTGCACAGCTACCAGGGCACCTGGCCCGCCACCGGGAACTACCCAGTGTTCACCTGACAGCGACCCCTGGAGTTCCGCGCAGCTTGGGCCTCTGCTGTCTGGAAGGTGGGGCGGGTGGGGAGAAGCCTGGACTTATCTGAAGATGTCGGGCCCCTGTGTTAAAGTTCAGTCTCCCGCATCCTGCAGGCAGTGCCGCGCTCTCCACAGCAGGGGGCGCCCCACCTCGGGAGAGCAGAGAGGGTACATGAAGGGACCCTGGAGCCTCCCTGGAGTAAGACTTGGCTGGGGAGTTGCAAAGGCCACAAAGCTGGGGCACACGGGCAGTGGGTCACAGGAAGGGTACCTGTGCAGACCCAGGCCCTGCTTGGGATGTCCAAGGCCACCCAGCCATGCACGGAGGGCACAGTTGAGGGTGCTGTGTCTACACATAGGCTGCCCCCATGGGCTTGTGTGAGGAGAGGCATGGGTGACTGGGCCTCACAGGGCGCCATCCTGCTCTCCTGAGGCAGAGGAGGAGACGCGAGGCTCTGCTGTGGAGAGGAACCCAGAGGGCAAGGTGGCGGGGGCAGCGCAGTGGGGGTGGGGAGGGGCAATTTTGCAGCCTCTGGAGGTGCTGGGAACCTCTGGACCCTTGGGGTGGATGAGGGACTGTGGGCTCAGGGAGCAGAGACCTCTGTTCTGCACACCCTGCACCGTGGCCACTGCGCCCTGGCTCAGCCTGCGCCCTGGAGCTCCTCGTGGGGTGGACAGGAGCGCACACCCACTCTCTGGGCAGCGCAGAGCAGGGGCTCCAGGGGCTGCCATGACACCCTGCGGAGCTGGGGCGGTGGGTGTGGGACAGGCTTGACATCCAGGCCTCTCCTTCCAGACGACTCCTCCTCCGAGAGCGGCAGCGGCAATGGCTCCTCCACCCTGAACCCATCCGCGTCCAGCAGCACGCAGGGCGACCCCGCCTTCCCCGAGATGAATGGCAACGGTGCTGCTGCCCCCATGGACTTCACTGCCACCACCGAGGACCAGCCCATCAACCTATGCGACAAGCTCCCACCAGGCACTGCGATCGGCACGCCCTCCTACCCCTCAGACGGCTGCAGCGCTGATGGGCTGCGGAGCCGTGTCAAGTACGGGGTGAAGGCCACCCCCGAGGTGCGTGGCCGGGAGCCTCCGCCCCCTGGGAAACCGCGGGGTTCTCATGAGGTCGAAATGAAAGGGCATCTGCCTGAGTTTAGCTGGAGCCAGTCCCCGTGTGACCCGTAGTCAGGGTGGTGACTGTGGCCACTAAGTCATCATTTTCTGAGAGGGGCTCTGGAATGGGAGATGGCAGGTGACCTGTGTGCCTATGACCTGTCCCCTTGCTTGGGACATTCAGCACCAAAACACAGGCCTCATGCTTCCTGGATACTTTGCTTGCCTGTCCTCGTTTTCCAAATGGTACAGAGAAAGGGTGAGGCCCCAGGGAGGCAGGGGTGGAGCTCTTCCCAGGCCAGCGGGGAGAAGGTAGGCAGGGCAGGCCCCCCATCATGGGGTCACTCTCACACTTCCATGCGCCATCTTGGGGCCACTTAGGTTTCCTGCAATAGAACAGGATGGCACTGGAGGGTGCCAGTTCTCCTGGGACATCTTCCCCAGCCCTGCAGCCCTGGGCTCCCCCTTCCTGGGCTGACTGTTCTGCAGAGCGGGCGGGGTAGGTGCCAAGGCTGGCTCCCAATGGTGTCTCATGAGTACAAAGGGATGGTGCCGAGTCGTCTCTGGCCAGAGTGCTGTCTGGCAGGGTGCAGGGAACAGGCAGAGCTGCTGTTGGGGGCAGCGGGCAGGTTGGATCCTCCGGGCCCCCTAACCATTGCCTCCATGGCCACGGGTCCCTGGGGTGGGCCCAGGGCTCAGGGACCAAAGCAGTGAGAAGGGGCCATGAGTGTTACCCGTAGTTCCCACAGTCTGCTCTGGCCCAGGCAATGTGACCTGCCCAGGGCCTCATGGCCAGCCGGTAGCCAGCACTGTGCCAGGCAGGTCTTTTGACCCTCTGCTCTGTCTGGAGGGCTGGGGCCCTTCCTTTCAGCTTGTGTATGGAAGAGGAGACAGGCAGCACCAGAATGCTGGCCCCAGGGGTCTGGTCACCAGAGCCTGGGGCAGCAGTGGAGGAAGGCCCGCAGCACCGGGTGCCAGGCTGTGTCTTCACTGATGTGCTCCTTGAGGCTGGGGTCCCTCCAGGATATGTCACAGAACATCACAGCACCTGACCTGCAGCTGTGTTCCCAGAGCCCAGCTCCTCACCTGCTAGATGCCAGCCTCTTGCAGAGCAAGTGCCAGGAAGTCGGGAGAGGGCACAGATGCCGCCCTTCTAACAGGCTAATGATAGCAATCCCCGAGTAAGGCCCTGAGGCAGGGGCAGGGCAGGTGGTGTGGGGCTGGACACAGGTAGAGAGAAAGGGTGAGGCCCCAGGGATGGGAGCAAGAGCCACGTACTCAGGAAAGTGACGTGCGCCCTGGATGGAGGGGCACATGGAGCCTGCTCGGCTGCAGGAGTTGGGCGGGTGGGCGGGCTGGGTCTGACTCCCTCTCCTGCTTCTGCCCACACGTCCTCACGGGGGCCCCAGTGTCTCCTTGTGGGCATACAGAGCCCTGAGCACTCCAGAAACCCACTCTGCCTGTCAGCCCTTCGCCGGGGCTGTTTCCCCTCCCAGCTCATCTGTCTCTCCTCCTCGACAGACATACACACGCTGCTTTGGTGACAGCTTGGTTGTCAACTCAGGATAGCAGCCCCTTGGGGATCAGAAAGGAATCCCAGAAGCCAAAACAGATCCTGGCACACGGAAGGGTGGGCTGGGAGTCCTCTGTGTCCCTCAAGCAGTGTGGCAGGGCCTAGTGTGGGCACTGTGTGCAGGAAACCACTGCCCCCCCTTGCCTCCAGGGGGAAAGGTCAGGAAGGGTGTTGGGCAGGATTGCTGCACCCATGTCACAGATGAAGGGAGCTGGAGAGGGGAGATTTGCTCAGGGCCTTGAAGCGTGGGTTCCCAAGTCCCTGTGGCCTATAGGGGACCATGCTAGCAGCCACAGGCTGACTGACCCTTTGCTTCCTGCCTCCCGCCAGTCCCCACCTTACAGCTCTGGGAGCTACGACTCCATCAAGACTGAGGTCAGTGGCTGCCCTGAAGACCTGACTGTGGGCCGGGCCCCCACGGCAGACGATGATGATGATGACCATGACGACCACGAGGACAATGACAAGATGAATGACTCTGAGGGAATGGACCCCGAGCGCCTCAAGGCCTTCAACGTGAGCATTGGGCAGGGCCAGCGTTGGGGGGTGCGGGCAGGGACAGCCGTCCTGAGAGCCTGTGTCCCCCACAGATGTTTGTGCGCCTCTTCGTGGACGAGAACCTGGACCGCATGGTGCCCATCTCCAAGCAGCCCAAGGAGAAGATCCAGGCCATCATCGAGTCCTGCAGCCGGCAGTTCCCCGAGTTCCAGGAGCGGGCCCGCAAGCGCATCCGCACGTACCTCAAGTCCTGCCGGCGCATGAAGAAGAACGGCATGGAGATGGTGAGCTCTCCCCCACGGCGCCCCTCTGGCCCCCCAGCCCCAGCCCGGGGTCCTGAGCGTCCCACAGCCAGGCGCCTGGCCCAGAACCCACCGGCAGCCCTAGAAGCAGGTCCCTTGACTCCTGTTTTAAATGGGGAACCTGCTGGAAAGGCTGCCTGGTCCTGGACCCCCACCCTGGGCCAGGCCTCTGCCCGCACCATCACCAGCTTGCTGCCCCTTCTACCTGCAGACCAGACCCACGCCGCCCCATCTAACCTCCGCCATGGCAGAGAACATCCTCGCTGCCGCCTGCGAGAGCGAGACCAGGAAAGCCGCCAAGAGGATGCGCCTGGAGATCTACCAGTCCTCGCAGGTGCCTGCTCCGCCAGTTCCTGGGCTGCGCCCACGGGGGGCCACCAGTTACCCTACGGTGGGCCAAAGGACAGAGGGGACAGTGCCCAGAAGTGGTGGGGGAGTCACAGAGGCCCTGCAGAACTTGTGACAGGGAGTCAGACTTCATCCCAAGACCAGAGGACCTGGAAAGGGTCATTGCTGTGGCAGTGACCATCTGCAGAGTGAGGGAGGTGGCTGGGGGAGGTGACCCCCAGGGAGCAGGAACAGGTCAAACCGGGGGTTCAGCCGTTGTGGAACCTGTGCCCAGGGACCTTGGCCGGGTCTGCTGCACCCTGGCTCCCCAGCACCACCCTCTCGCCTCTGCAGGACGAGCCCATAGCCCTGGACAAGCAGCACTCCCGGGACTCCGCAGCCATCACCCACTCCACCTACTCACTGCCAGCCTCCTCCTACTCCCAGGACCCTGTGTACGTCAACGGCAGCCTCAACTACAGCTACCGTGGCTACGGGGCCTTGAGCAGCAACCTGCAGCCCCCGGCTTCCCTCCAGACAGGAAATCACAGTAACGGTGAGTGGGGCCCTCGGCTCTGGCTCCCTGACCAGCTCCCAGCCCATCTGCCCAGCAGCCTCAGGGAGGCCCAGGGCAGGGGAAGCAGAGGCCAGTGAGGAGGTGACGACCGTTCCATCAGCTGAACTAGTGCCTGGATTGGACAGCCAGGAAACCCTCAGCTGGGCAAAATGGAGAACCTCCCTCTCCCTCTCACCTCCATAGCATTGCCCAAGTCTCCCTCCGGCACTGCCGTCACCTCCCCCTTGCTCCTGTGTAGGGCCCCTATGGGCACAGGCTCCGGCCAAGGCCCTGCTGTTTACCCACCTTGGATCCTCCGCACCCCTACTTAGTACACAATGACCGAGGCCCGGTGAGTAGGTCATATTGTGCTGGCCCGGGCCTGGGCCACCAGGCAGCTCAGGAAGGCAAGCCTCTCCAGGCGTTGGCTCCTGGCCTTACCTGTGAAGTGACAGCTTTGTTCACCAGGTGCTGGGCCTCAGCCTGGCTCCGGGGCCTCTGGGCACACACTTAAGTCATGCGGGGCGATGTTTAGCTGTTGGTTCCTTCAGCTCCATGCCCCTTGGCTGGTGCCTCAGGTACAGTCCAGGTAGCTCTGCTGTGGGTGACAGGTGGACAGGGAGGAAAGGCCCTTGCACAGACCTTGATGCGGGGACAGAGCAGGGACCATCTACACTGGAGGGAGGCACTGGCACAGGGCCTCAAGGGCCAGGCATCAGGTTGTGCTCTGGCGGGGCAGAGGGGCACCCAGGGTGGGCTTTTAGCTTGGAAAGGCTGTGCATTGTGCTGGGTCTTGGTCACTGTCTGTCCCTGTGGGGAGATTTGGAGGGAGAGGCAGTGTTCCTGGAGGCTGTCAGAGGTCAGAGAGAGGGGAGAGGGGCCGCCTGTGGGTGGCGCCCTGGAGCCAGGTCTGGGCTGAAGGTGCCTGTGCATTCTTAAAGTCCTGTCCTTGACTCTGAGACCTCCATTGTCTCTGAGCAGCAAGGGAGAGTCCCTAGCCACAAGAGAAGGCCAGGCTGTCCCGACACCACCTTCATCCGAAGCCTGCAGCAGCCTGGCTCCCCACACTCACCGCGCCCCCAAGTGGGGAAGTACATGTGGGTCCCTGGAAGATTCCTGCCTGGGCTTAACCTCTCATCCCTCCCTAATGCCTCTTAGCCTAAAATAAGAAGGCTGCCTGGCCCTAATCCCTGAGGCCAGGCCAGACAGGCCAGCTCAGGAAGGGCTGGAGCAGCCACCCAGGGAAAGCATCCTGCCGAGTGGCCCCCTTGGTGAAGTGTCTGAATGGGGCCCAGAATTGGGAGGGTGAAACCCCTTTCCACTTATATGGGAATCTGGGGCCCAGCCAGACAGATAGGAACGGCCTGGTCCCTCACTGATAGTGCATGATGGTGGCAGGTGTCCACTGGCACAGCCAGCGTAGCCTGCCACAGGGCTGCAGCTGCTGGGCTCTCTCATGGGTGTGGGGCCTTCTGCCCTCCCACCACATCCACACCTGCCAGAGAGGCCCAGACAGCAGCCCAGTCTGTTCTTGGACACAGGCCTTAGAGGCTTGGCCCCTGTGCATCCCAGAGCCTTGGTCTCCCATCTCTGAATACTGTGGCTCCTTCGAGGCGGGTGGCAAGGTCACAGGGCCAGCCCCTGTCCTGTGACCACTCATTTGGAGAACACTGTCTGGATTCCATTCCAGCAGTTGGAGGAGACGACAGGCAGCCTGTGGGTGCAGAGCCACCAGCCCCACCACTTCCACGGCAGCAGTCCTCAGTGCCTGCCCAGCAGGATGGCCCCTTGGTAGCGGCCACAAGGTGCCTCGGCTCCTCACTCTGCTCACCGTGTCGGCACCCAGAGATGGTGATGAGCTTAGGTAGAGCCTAGCCTGCAGTCTGCCTACGGCGCTGGGTAGTTCACCCTGCCTCCCCACCAGCCCACGGCAGCTACCGGCAACCTGATCACCCACCGTGACCAGAGCCTGGTGGGGCTGTCTCCAGGTCACACTGGCTGCAGGAAATGGAGACCTTCTTTCCGGGCTTTAGCTACAGCCAAGGAGAGAAAGAAGGAAAGCTTTGCGCACAGCCTTGAGTGGTGATGGGACAGGATCTGGGGACAGAGGGAGGAAAGAGGAACCCCAGGGCCACTGCTCATGTTAGCCGTAGCAGGTGGCGCTGGCCACCTCTGAGCATTGCTTGGAAGGAACCAGAGCCGTACAGAAGCAGCTCTGGAGAGCACAGGAAGGGGTGGCCTCCTCCCCCCTTGGTGTCCTGCCCTGCAACAATAGCCAGGAGCTGTCAGAGGCCGCCAGCCTGGGGCCTGTCCCCTGCGCCTGGCTGCTGCACACAGCCTGCTCCTAACTCCTGGGTTTGATTTTAATGGTCTTGACTGTCCCCTGAGCTCTCAATTCCAAGGACATTCTTTAGCAAACCAGTTCCTTGGATCTTCTTGTTGTTCATGTTCTGTGGCCAGAATGTGACAACCATAGACCCCAACTTCCTTCCCCATTTGGGGACCACAGCAGCTTCTGTTTAGTGGCAGTGAAATTTCCATAATTTATCCCAAAGATTACTTTTAGTTGTGTCTTCGTAGGGCATGAGCACTGCCACTGCACTGGAGCACGAGGGAGCTGGCTGTCAGCCCCAGGGCGGCAGGGTGGTAGCTGAAAGCCCAGAACAGCCTCACACGCCCATAGGATAGCCTGGGTGGGGGGCTTGGGGAAGGGCCAGGAGGGGAGGGCAGGGGCCAAGCCAGCTCCCACCTCCCCACGGCTCCCCCTCTGACTCCCTTCCTGCTGAACACCTTGCAGGGGCTTTTCCAGCGGCAGCGTTTCTGCTTCTGCCAGAACCTGTGCAGAAAGCCCCAGGCCTGGTAGAAGCCTGTCCTCATGGGCTGGACGTGGCAGTCAGGCTTCTGCAGGCTGCGAAACCCCTCAACCCCTCCAGCCTGTGCTGAGTCTTGCACAAGCCTCACCACAGCTCCTCTCTCAAGAGCCTCCTGGTTTTGCACACGGGGGATCTGAGACTTAGAGAAGTTGAGAAATTGCCAGTGAAGTAGCAGAGAGGGACTTGAATCCTGCAGCTCAGTTTCAAAGCCAGCAGCCCACTCCACGGAAAGGCCAAGACCAGACAGGGCCTGGTGGTTCCCCTCTCCCAAAACACCCATCATGTTTCAGAAGACCTGGGGGTGTCTCTGCTGCCACCATCCACCAGCAGAGGGCAGACCGCAGACCATTTCCCCAGGAAACCTCTCTGGGCCCTGCCCTGCCTGACCATTGGATCCTCTCACACCCACCGGACACCCTCTCTTGTCCCAGGACGACTAACTTTCCTCCTCACACAGGCACAAAAGAACTCAGCTAGGCACAGCCATGCAGGCCAGGAATCCCAGCTACTCAGGAGGCTGAGGCTCAGCAGGAAGAGGCTGGTGGCACTCAGCCCCTTCCTCCACTCACATGCACCACAGCCCCTCCTGGGGGTGTGTTCCACCTGACCAAGCTGGGATATGGGCCTTTTTTTTTTTTTGGCTTTATCCCAATCAGAGCCCACCCTATCTGAGCACATCCTGGTATTATTCTCTGGTCCCCCTCATGGCGTCTCCTGGGCTTTCCACACACCCTGGTCACTGTCAGTGTGCTAAGTGCCCTACATGTCTCCCCTCCCAACCTACCTGTGTGGGAGGAAAGGCACACAAATCCAGTCCCACACCAGCACCATTATTCCTGTTCCCAAGCACAGCTCTCCACCTGAGGCTTCAGGTTGGTGGAATGTTCCTTTTCCTTTGCACCTGGGGATGAAAGCAGGGATGTATCTGTTGGGAGTCCTCAGGAGGCAGCACAGAGCATGGTCATTGCCAGGGAGCTGGGGTTGGAGTCCTGCTCTGCCTAATGCCAAAGCCTGTGCACCTGGCACATGCCTCTGCCCCCAGTATTTGTAACGTGATTTGCACGGGTATTTGCAATGTGATCTTGGACAAACCTCTCACTCTCCTTTGTACCAAAGACCCTCCTCCTCTTTGCCAGATTGCACTGACAGCCCTTTTCAAGTGCAAGTCCTATTCCCAGCAAGAGGTACAACCATCAGGGAGACAGGCAAGGTCCCTTAGACTCAGTGCCCAGCTCACAGCCAGCACCCAGGATGTGCCCCTCCCAGATGCCGTATGGGGGTCTGTTCCCGCTTTACCTTCTTTTCCTCTCCACAGGGCCCACAGACCTCAGCATGAAAGGTGGGGCCTCCACCACCTCCACCACCCCCACGCCCACCCCCTCCAGTAACAGCACCAGCAGGACCATGCCCACCGCTCAGCTCAGCCCCACGGAGATCAGCGCTGTGCGGCAGCTCATTGCTGGCTACCGAGAGTCTGCGGCCTTCCTGCTGCGCTCTGCAGATGAACTGGAAAACCTCATTTTACAGCAGAACTGACCCCACTGGCACATGGAGTGCACTACCCTGGGGAAGGAGGCTGTCCCCCAGCCCGGACCCGGCTTCCTGTCTCACCAGTTGGTACATTTTGTTTTCCAAAAGAGGTGGGATCCAAAAGAGCTGTTTCTAGCCACACTCCAAGCACCTGAGACTTTGGGCACAAGGACACTTTTTTTTCTTTTTCTTTTTTTTTTTTTTAATCTCACCACACGGGTGCTCTGACCTGCTTGGAGAGGCCCACAGGGCAGCTCTGGAAGGGTTGGAGCCCCCTGACAAGGCGCTGGGGCTGCAGCTCTGTTTAGAATCACCTTCGTGGACCCTGATGTTAGAATCCCACCCCCAGATAATTACCTTTCAAGTCTTAGGTGAGCAGAATTGCATATTTATTGAGAAAAAGCAAAGTGGACCCTTTTTCCCCTCTCCCCTTAGTAATTTATTTTTCTGAAAATGGATTCTTTTGTGTTTGTACAGATTTGCCAGTCTGTGTCTGTCTGATCAGAAGGACGTATCCCTTACCTAACATTCCATAGCACTACACTGATGCAGGCCGGGGGCCAGCAGGGGTGGGCGGGAGCCAGGCCGGTTGTCCCTCTGAGTGCCCAGTGCACCCTAGGGAAGGCCACCACCCCTCGACCAGGCTGTCCTGTTGCAGATCCCAGGGACACAGCCAGGTACCGCCAAGCTGGAGGACCTCGCCCACACCCACTGCAAAGCAAAACAAAAAGGCACCCCACCCACTCTACAGAGCCCCGTCACACGGCCACCTGTACTCTACCTCACACTCCAGCGTGGGCTTTTTCCAGGACGTGCCCCGAGCCTGTTCTGAACGGCTGTCTCCCCAACTCCCCCACACACAATGTGTCTGCCTAGGAGGTAAGTCAGGCTGGGTGTCCAGGAGCCAGAGCCCACAGAGGGTCCTGTCCTTCACAGCCAGCAGCTTGCAGTCCTCTGGCCCTCGCAGCTGCCTGACAGGACAGAGTGCTGGAGAGAGCAGTCGGTCAGCAGGGCAGTGGCCTTCACCTTGTCGCACAGGCCAGGGGCCTTCCTAACTGCTGAGAAAAGCTGTCAGGCAGCTGTGAGTTCCTGTGTGGACTGCAGCTCCCACCCCCTCGCCCCCTGATTGCAGTCAGTGGAAGTGGAGAAGCCACCTGGGTTCTCCTAGGATTGGTCCTTCTGGAAGGCCCAGTCCTGGATGGAACCCAGAGTCCCTGGAGTGTGAAAAGGGCAAAAAGAAAAAAGCTGGCCTGGTTTCCCTCCTCCTTGATAGGCACTTCCTCCTGCTCAGTGCAATACCGACCAGTGCTGCTAAACCAGGGACTCCCGGACCTCAGCAGGCCCAGAGGCCCTCCACACAACACTCCGTAGCCATGACTGCAGCTCTCTGCTGCCTGCCCCTGCCCAGAGCCGGCAGAAGCCCTGTTGCCTTTCTTCCCTTAGAGCAAAGAGACCCCAGGGGAGCCAGGGCCAAGTGGACCCTAGGACGCCAGAGAGAGCCACTTGATCCCAGAGCAGGTACCCCTTCCCAAACCAGCTTTTCTGCAGCCAACTGCCTGTTGCAGCCCTGGCCGCTGCCCCAGCACTATGTCAGACCACCCCTCAGGACAGCAGGCAGGTGCAGGGTGGTGCAGACGCCCACCCTGCTTAGATCCAGAAACTGCAAGGCAAGGTGCTGCATCCCAGGCACACCTCCACCTGCGGTCAGGGTGGCCTCCCAAGTGGCCTCTATGATGCCCACCCAGCCACACCACCTCTGCCTTCCAAATGACCGATCCCTAGGTCTCTGGTCGGGGCCAGGACACCTGACACCCCCTTCCTCAGCACAGCACAAGCTCCAGTGCCCAGGCCTCTCCCACACCTGGCCATCCACGTGCCCAGTCCCCTGCCTGCTCAGTACGACTCCCTGACATATGAATTTGTGTACATATTTATTTTTGTGTGTGAACAATAATACAAAGTAATCAGTAGACGTTTTGCAAAATGTTACCCCAGGCAATTTGTGAAAATCTTAATGTTAAAACCTGGCAGAGACAATCGCCACCCTAGAATTCCTGTTGCTTAATGTGTCATTTCTCCTCCCAGAGGCAGAACCAAGCTAGGCACAAACAGGTTGCATTTCTTGGCAGACAGGAGAAAGACTGCAAAGGGGTTCCTCCCTCCACCCCAGCAGAACACCATCTAAAGATCAGCATAAGCTGCTCTTGAACTTCTAGTACCCTGAGCGCAAGGTGTCGCCACGGGCCGCCTCAGCAAACCTCAGTGCTGTGGTGTGGGCCTGGTCCAAGTGTTTTAAAGTAAAAGGGAACAAATGCCAGTGCCGGTCCATTGGGACCTCAGGACCATGGATTCTGCCACACTGACCCCATAGAAGCTATACCTGAAGTCCCAGAGATGGCTGACCCAGGAGCAGGTCACTGTGTGAACAGGGTTCCACTAACTCGTTCACAGTCAGGGAACTTGTTCTGTTCTACTTTGGTTTTAAAAGATGCAGCTTCAAGCCTTCCCTTCACTCCTGACTTGGAGGGTGCCACAGGGCCAGCCCAGGACTCAGCTTGCTGCTCTCCATCCTCCCTGAGAGACTGCCTTCTGCCCGAGGGCATACCTTCTGGAGGGACTCAGAGCACCAAGTAGTCGCTGAGGATCTGAGTTTAAAAGGAAATGCAAGAGTAGGATACACAATCCCAGAGTCTGCAGGGTCGACTCCATAAGAAGCAGAATTGGAGAAGCGGGCACTTGGTCTGACCAGTAGGTCATCTCACAGACCAGTGGTGGTGTGACCCCATCTGAAATTATTTTTCTGTCATCACTCATACCAATGACAGTTTATTCCCAAGTCAGTGTTGGGGGAGAGGGACGGGCAGGGCTAGGAGGGTCTCAGAGCATTTCAAACAGGTGGAACCCATCCATCCCTCCCTATTCTCAAGGGCCACGCATGACTCCAGGGGTGGTTATAGGATTAACTACCAATTCATTTTCAAAATGCTGCTTTGAACTCAGAGGGTTGATACTTTTAATTTGTAATTTTTTGTAAGACTTTTTACAAGATTAGTAAAGTATTTCACCAGAATACCAGTTTCAATCCGTCCGTGGTCTGATTTTTATATAATTTAGTGGTGCTTTAGAAACTTTGTTTTCGTTGTTTCTGAGCTCAACAGCTCAATCCTTTTCGCCTGTATCTACCTAAGACCAATGTGAACCTTTGTATTTTTGCTCCTAATTTTGGACTCAGTGAAAGTGTACTGTTTACATGTACAGACGCCCCAGTCCCTGTGTGTCCTGCAAGACTCGCCCTTGAGGAGGAAGATGCACCTCACTAAGCTCATCTGCTTAGCAAAGCCACAAAACAAAAACCTCTCACTTTTTACCCATTTCTACCTAAAATTAAAAAAAAAAAAAAAACCTACACCACAGATTTGCTGGAAAACACTCCACCTGGTAGATGGCCCATGTGCCTCTATCGTGTGCCCACTTAGGAGCAGGGGTCAGGAGCAAGCCCTCCTACTGGTGGTGGTGGATCGCCGCACAGATGACAGGCGAACGCAGGTCGGCCCATTCTGGGATGAACAGTTCTCCAGGCGGCCCGGCCATGGGAAAGTCAAGATGACTCGCATGGCCTTCGGGATCAAGCCAACCAGGATTTAGGCTCAACTCGTGAGGTCATCAAGCCTCTAGCATAATTTAGACCTGCTTTGGAAGCATGTGAGTTCCGCATCTGAGACTCTGGCTCTCAGTGCAGAGGGTACAAGCCTTTCTCCAGGGCTGCTCTGGAGGCAGCTTGGTAGCGAGCCACCACACCTGGGGAGGGGCCAGGGCTCCAAGGCAGTTAAGCATATGGCACTTATGGCAAGCAGCAGATGGCACCAACTTTTAAAGGTGACTCTTTGTTAATCAATGGCTTCACCTCTAAATTATATTTTTACAGATATGCACCTATGCAACTTAACGTGGCTCTCCTAAGCAGGTGAGGACTTCCTCCTCAATGCTCTCTATATAAAAAGTATTTGTGTTCTGTACAGTGAGTTTTTCCAGTAAATGTGGCTTAATATTTTAATTCTTAGAATGTGTCTTCTGCGTGATGCGACTAAATTCTGTTTTGTTTGTGGAATGACTAGCACAGGCCGACTCCCTCTCTCCCTCACTTAACAGAAGACCAATGAGCTGTTAATCGAGCTGTTATCTCCATGGTATTACTGCTAAATGCACTGATTTCATAAGTATGTGGAATCCTTTTCCTTTGGAATCTGTATATCATATATAAGACTGAATCTACTTAATAAACACTGAACAAACTGAGTGCTGAGCTTCCACTGTGTCCTACTGACGGCAGCATGGCCAACCAGCTCTCTTGTTCTTCAGGACTCAGTTTGAAAATAAAACAGGAAGATTTACCATTTTCTAACCAATAATCTGGCACACGCACATTCAGTTCCTCAGGAAGCTTTGGAGCTTGGGACGTGGCTCAGTAGTGAAGCACTCCATCCCCAGGATCCCTAGCACCACACACAATCCTTCCAAGTTTTGTTTTTTTGGCTCGACCACTGAGCCACACCCCCAGCCCCATTTTGTATTTTATTCAGAGACAGGGTCTCACTTGAGTTGCTAAGTGCTTCGCCATTGCTGAGACTGGCTTTGGACTCCCAAGCCTCCTGCCTCAGCCTCCCTAGCTTCAAGGATTACAGTTGTGTTCCACCCTGCTCAGGCCTAAATTTTGAAAAAACCTGTAGTCTCTCCTTTTGGCACCTTGCCTGTTAAAAGGAAGTTTTCCTGGGGTGCTTTCTCAGGTGCCCAGCACAGGTGGCAAGCCTTCTACTCACTGTTATTTAAATTTCACAGTCACCTTATCCCACTTAGAGATGGAACAGCGGAGAGGCACTGGGTGTTACATAGTGACTAAGTTCAGTCAGCAACCAAGCAAGGCCTTAACTGCAGCTGCCAGGCTACAAACAGACCTTTTCCCCTGTCTCCCCCCCCC